ACAAGGGGGCTATCCTGGAAAATGTTGTTTTTAGATAATCGAAGGTACATTTTTTGGAACCTTGTTCAGTTTCTTTAAAAGACCAGGAACGTTTTCTCTGTAACCAAGCAAATATACCAACACACACCAGTGAAGCCAAACTTCTCCTATAGGTAGGGCAATGCCCACTTTTGGTATAGGTCATGATTTCTGGAAACCCCCGAAATCTGGGTTAGCCCGCTTGTCCTTACAAGCGACCATTTGTTGTATGCAGTCTGAACAAACCGCTTGCTTGTTGTAGTTCGAGAGGTTTGAGAGGCACGGCTTTCAGGTCACATTTCCGTTCATCCTTTCGTGGATTCTCTACCACGCCGTGCTTTGGTTTTCGAGCACAAAGTTGACAAAGTGACCGTTGATGGTGGGTGGTTGGCGGGTGCTCTGGTGTGGTTTGCTACCTCCTTCTTTCCTATCTGACTTCCATCGTCCTTATCTCTTCTCCTTAAAAAAATTTTGTTACCCTCTTGTAGCACCTGTAGCCTTCTGCAGTTATATAACTTTATTGTGTTGCAAATGCCGTAAAACCGCCCACTAAAACAACCGAAGAAAAAAAAAGAAATCATTTGTTGTGTACAGCGCCTGTAATCTTCTGCACTTATATAACTTTATTGTGTTGCAAGTGCCGTAAAAGCGCCCACTAAACTAAAAAAAAAGAAAAAAAAGAAACCATAATGTGTCGTGTGCAGCCTGTACACCCTTTCGCCCAGCAGCATTACGACATGCTTTTTGTAGTCTGAGAGGCACGGCTTTTAAGGCCACTTGTCTGTTCTTCCTCTTGTTGATTCTACCCCGTCGCGCTTGTTTTTTTTTTTTTGGGGGGGGGGGTTTCGAGCACAGAGTGACCGTTGTTGAGTTGATGTGCTTCTCCTCAGCTGTTGCGAGCGCCGTAAAATCCTTACTTAACTAACTGAGCTTCTCTTGTTACTCATGGATGGTTGGCGTGTGCTCTGGTGTGGTTCGCTCCTTCTTTCCTATCGAACATCTATCGTCTTTATCTCCCCTTCTTCTTTTTTAAAAATGTCAGTTACTTTCTTGCAACAACTCTAATCTTCAGCACTTACATGACCTTATTGTGTTGGAAGTGCCGTAAAACTCTTACTAAAACTAAAATCTGTTGCTCGTTCGGCACTGGCGCCTGGCTGTCGAGTTCGGTCCCCGAGTGGGGATGTAACATAATATTTTTCGTCACGCGCCTCGGTCTTCGATGGCAACGAGGCTGGAGGGCGACCGCGAAAGACCTGGATAGATGGAGTCAGGGAAACGTTAACAACTCACGGCATCCCCCTTGACCCAAGCTCTCCGGCTGGTGGCAAAGAGACGTACCTCTTC